AATGAAAAGGAGCAAAAAGAACAATCATATGATATCTGTCCCTCAATTCATTGTACAACTTGGAACTAGTTCTGTTACAGTATTTTAATCAATATTACATTAATTCTGTCTGTCTTTAAGACTGAGCCAATTAGGAAAATGTGCAAGGTGAATGTCTGGTTAGATGAAACCAAGCCTTGTGTGTTGGTAGAATTCAGTATAACACATTACCATGAGTACACCTCCCTATGATGAAAGATGGTGATGTGCTTTGGAGATGTTTTTTAACAGGGACATAAGGAAAGATGGAAGAGTTAATAAGATGATGTACAGAATTAAATAGACTACATTTCTGGAATAAAAGCTGATCGATTCTACAAAATACACCTAAGTGGAGATTTAGCTCCTGAAAGGATAACTGAAGATGCAGCCAGAGCTACACTGAAACGATTTGTGTTGAGTACTGATGTGTACGAACATAAGGGTCAAAGTTCAGGCCTAAATCAAAATGAAAATGTTCAGATTCTCCCATCTAAGTAGGGATCAGAAGTAAGAACCATTTACCAGAATACTGCCCAAAGCTTTTAAATTCTTCAGAAAACAAGTGTCTTGTCAGTTTTTAGTTGCTATGCCCAGCGATGCTCTATATGAAGGGTTTGTTAAACAATCTTTTGACAATGCATAAAAGAAATATATGAAAACAGCTTAATAGGCATGTCCAATAAAGAGGAAACCAGGACAAGCATAACAAGCACAATGGCAGTGGCTCAGAGTGAGTCATTTGAAGTGTCTTTTTTTACCAATGGAAATATGATGCATACAGCCTCTTCAGAGAGCAGCATTTCAATAAGCTTCAGCCAGCTTTTGTGATCAACAAAACCCATTTATTTTCCCTGATGTGTTACAGACAGCTGTTGTTGTGGCTGTTGAAAAGGAAGGCAGGCCTTGATAAAGATTCTTGTCTGTAAAGTGGCATAAAAGGTCATACAAGTTGCCATAGCAGCCAGAGCTAATTGCTCTAACGCAAGGCTGCCAGAGAGTGGACGGCCATGGACGAGCCTGTGGACAGGAAGGACATGATCATGTGCTCGAAGAGAAGCATTGTTCCTGACTGTCTTTTTTTTAAGAAAATGATGATTGGAGCCTTTAAATATAAATGTTTGGGTCTGCTATTAAATGGTAGCATGAGCAAAGCCTTCAATCTGCAACTATCCAACCCAAGATCTTGATGAACAGCTTCTCTGCTGCTGTGTTCTGTTAGGGTGGCCAGTCAGTAAAGCAGTCAGGGTTACTAAAGAAAGCAGAGGGTCTGTTTGACTAAATCAAGCGGGCAAAAAGCTGTGTAACCCCTTCTATGACTCATAGAGGAGAATGTTCTACTCCTTCATCACCAGAAGCAAACACAGACTTGCACATTCATGTAATCACTCGTGCATATCCATACAGCGTATGCAAGGAAGGCTGCACAGACAAAAGCAGTAGGAGCGCATGCACCCACACACCCACCTTCACTTTGCTGTTCTTAAGCAAACAGCCTGAGGCTCAGTGGATGAGCATGTCAGTGGTGTAGGCTGACATTCTGTCACACAAACAGAGAGGATGGAGATACATGCCTCTTCAGCACCCTCTTCTACATTTCTTACTAGCACAGCCTAGTGTCGCATGACTTCTCCTTTATGCTGCACTGATAACAGAAAAAAAAACAACCTCAAAACATTTTTTTCCTGTCAACTTTGAAACTACAGGGGACAAAATCCTTGGTAGAAAAGTAAAATACCTTGAACAGAATGGAGAAATAGGTTAAATCTGCATGAGCTGATTAACATTAGAGAGAGGGGAAAATAAAATTGGTGTACAGGTAGTTTAACTGTAGTTGGGTGCCTTTAGCATGATGAGTAGGCAGGCAGGGAGAGAGAGGGAGAGAGAGAGAGGAAGGCGGTGCGCCAGGGTTCTCCCCCAAACAGCCAAAACACTCTAATTAAGGAGCACAGTGGGGAGAGAGTGCAAGAACAACAGCTCTGCATTGTCACATAATGATTTTCTTATCAACTGCAGCACAGAAAACACTAGGCGCCTCTCATCTGATGGATGTACGCAGGCATCTCTGTGTTTCCAGGGAGCGTCTCTGGGGGAGACGTCTGGTCGCACCCAGAAGAACGGAAGCAGCACACTCAATTTTTACTGCTCTGCAGCAGCAGAATGTTAAAAACAACAGAGAGAGACAGTCAATGAAAAAGGAGGTAAAGCAGGAGGGGATGTAGCCACAGCCCCCTTTTAAACATACACCAAGAGCCTGGGTGGTTTTTCATTCTCAGGAGGAGGTTTCTCACACATTTACATTGCTGCATGTATGAAACATCACTGCTCTGCATAATTTAAATGATGTCCATATTCATAGGTCTGTCTGCATTTTTTGCCCCTTATCGGATGGACCAGATGGCCTGATGGCGGGGTAAATACCTGCAGAGAGGGATGCAAAGTAATGGATTCCTTTGCATAATTTTCTTTCAATTATAAATTCAGTTCATTTTTGGGGGATTTTTTATTTTTGTACTACAACATACTGCATAATTGTGGAAAAATTATACAGCAACTTGCAGTATGCTTATATATTCATCCCCTTTATTGGGAGTGTTGTCCAAACCTTTTGTCCAGTTGGCCAAAACAGTAATCAAAAAACACTCATAGGTCACCAAAATTTCATATTTAGGATGTAAAAAATTACTTCTATTTTACCTGTTCCACATTAAACCAAACATGAAATTTTTTTATGTAGAGAAGTAGAATAAATGTTGCAGGAATTCAGTTAAGTTCTAATAATCTGAACCTAAAAATGATCTAGACATTTTTTTTTAAGAATAGAAGCAATTTCTTGTTTTTTTTTTTTTGTGGTCACTTATTAAAAATCCCTGGTCTTGGTTACTGAAAGTATAGTGAAATCGAGTAAAATGTTTTAAGTTGTTAAAAATGTTTAACATGTTATTTGCCATTATAATGAGACTCCCTTTCTTGCAGAAAGCCTTAGTAAAAATGTTTACCTTCAAAACTTTTCTCAGGGTTTCCAATAGTCTATTGGCCACACTGGCCAGAGTTAAATAAAACCAGCTTCAGAAGTCCCTTAATTGGATAGTAATGTTCAACAGTGTTTATTTTCATCTAAGTATTCTTCCTGCTGTTCATCGGAGGCATCAGATGTTTGTTAGTGAACATTAGTGAACAAACAACGTGTACGTTTTTTTTTTTTTTTTTTATCAAAAATCTATTTCAAAACATGATCCTCAGCTTTTCCTATCAGCACTCTGTTCAATCTATCATCTGACAATGAAATAGTTGCTATTTACCCAGAAAATGGCTTTTAAAATTAACTAAAAAGGCTGAACAATGATCCTCAGAAGCAGCCAAAAGGTCTTTGCTAGGTCTGGGGGAGCTGCATAGATCTACAGCTTAAAAGGGAAAAACTATTTCCAAATATGATGCAGTCACTCCACAGACTGGACACCTATGGACTCACGAAGGCAACTGAAAAGCTGAAAAAATGTTTGCATTTTGTCTCCAACCAAAGGAGGCACTACAGGCATGTGGAAAATTTTGGTCTGCTCTGATGAGACCAGAGCCTAACTTTTGGACCCGCATGCAGAATGCTGAACTAAGACTGAATGTGTCGTAATCTTGTTTTGTGTGCAGATCATTAAAATCCTAAACCCAAAAGAGAAGCCAACCCTGGTCCTTTGAAATTTAAAACAAAATGTGCATGTGTATTTTAATCCCTGAGGGCATTGAATCAGAGAGATATCTTCAAATAGAAACCCGCCAGAAAAATTTACAAGAAGTACTTCATGTTCAAATGTAGGTTAGGTTCAATGAAGTGAAAGTAATTTCCGACATATTTCACTTCTACTCTGTGCTACTTTCTCTAGATTCTTCTTTTCGTCACACAGTCTGCTTCACTAATGGAAGATGTTTGAGGTTAAATACATTTTATAAATGTATTAGCTTCTACAATTAAGTTGCATTTTCATGTAAAGTTCAAATGTTAGAGGTCTTTCAAACACAAAGAATTCAAATACACACCTGAAAGATTATTATTATTATTAGCAAGTAGCCTACTGCAGAAAGAGGGGCGACGGAGGGTGGGGTGGCAGATGGAACCTGCTTTGATTAGAGGTTAACAGATGCCCCCATATCCTACAGGCCACATAATTACCATCAGATAGACATGCTGCTGACCAACTTTGCTACTTCATATGTGCACACATTGAGAACTGAATCAAGGTTGACGCTGTTATCTGTTTTCTTCAGTTTTTGAACTTTGGCTTTCCATTAGGCCACTGAATAAAGAACTGTGGACAGCTCGCTATGGGGTGGCCTATAATCTCCAACTCTATCTAAGGAGTTATCTTAGTGTCTTGGTTGTTGATGACGGGATGAATTAGGAGATTTGGGTTTCATTTTGGTTTTATGTGATAGGTTAAAAAAAAAAGCATACCATTTATCCAAATATTTTACTATTTAAAGCCCCAAAACTAATTTGTTCATTAAGCAACCTTTACACTGAACAGGTAGAAGCCATCTGTCTGTAAACCTGTGCATACTGTAAATCCAGCTGTTCTGTAAGGGCCTCAGAGGTTGTTTAAGAACAGCTGTAATAAGACTGTGAACCACAGCAGTTTGATCTTTACTCTGAAGGAGCTGCAGAGCTGTACAGCGCAGGAGGAAGAATCTTTTAATTCCATAGCCCCTAATATTGCATTACACAAATCCAGCTTTTAAAAAGCTGCCAGAGTAAAACATTTAAAAAAGAGGAAATTACAGCCAAATAAATCCCATTAAAGGTTGTCATGAGCCACATAGGTTATACAGCAAATATAGATGATTTCTTTTTAACCTACCTACAAAGACAACATCCCCACTAATGCAAACATTGATGGAACCATCATATTGTGGAGATATTTTTCAACAACATAAACAGGAAAACAAATTGCGCTTCATGCACGGAAAGATGGATGGGCTGAAACCTGTGAGTTAATGGTTCACTGTCCCCAAGAACAAAATCCATAAACACACAATCAAAGCAGTTTGACACCGTTTAGCTCAAAGAATTTATTTGTTAGTGGCCCAAAGTCCAGACCTAAACCCAGCTGACAATCTGTGCTCAACTTAAAAAATTATTGCACTTTTTTTTTTTTTTTAAGTTCCGTGTTTGAACTATATTTCCAAATAAGAACAATCTGTTAAAGTGGCAAGCTGGTAGAGCGATATCCTAGCAGAATTACAGTTCCAGCTGAAGTAAAATGTGATTTACAAAGAATTAAAACTGAGATAGGAATATACTATTTAATGTTTAGTATACACTCTACATGGTACACTCCCAAAAGATGTTTACACCATCTATCATCAACATTCTACTTCAGTTATCTGCTATTTTGTGTTGTTCTATTGCATAAAAGAATGATAAAATACACTGAATGATGAGACAAATCATGAAAAAGATCAATATTTACAAAGACATTTTCATAACACCGTACATTATATGCATTCAGCTGCTGCAAAAAAAATATATATATTCAGAACAGAATTAATACAAGAAAAATGTGGTCTTCTCATATTTAGAGAACAACAGCATCACATTCTGCTTTCAACCATCAGGCAGCAAAGGTAGGAACCAACTACAAACGTCATCATATTACAAAAAAACAAAAAGCAACTTCCCCCTGTCTCAATGACCGACCTAATAACTGGACAGGAATCTTTGAGAAAGCTGGGCTTCACATGATGAAAACAGTATCTAACAGCTTTTTATCAGGATTACACCACCATCTAGTGACCCAGAATAGTAATGCAGGCAGGGTATAAAAAAAAAAAAGTTTCCAACTGTACCTAAGCTGCACAGAGGCACAGATGGTGATTTCAAAACAAATGAATCATTCTTTTGATTCATATTTCTTAAGGCACTAATTTATCAAATATTGCATAAGGCACAAATGCTACTGATGCTCATAATTGAAAAAGAATTCAAAAGATTTACTTTTGCTAAATGCATAAACATTTATTAGCCAACACTCATGCAATGCCATTCGCTAATCTTTTATTTATACATATATTTATTGGAAATATTAAGGTATATTTTTAACAAAAAACATTTTTTAATAATATTTATATCTAGCTTAATATATTTTTCAGGAAATGTTATGCTCATGTATACTATTAATGAAAGATGTCTGCCAACTACTTAGAATGAGGGAGCTGGAAAAGAGCAACACATTTATGACATCTTAAAGGCTTTGGATGTGCAAGACTGATTGGCAAAAAAAACAAAAAAAAACAACATTAAACAGTATCAAAAGGTATATTTAACATCTTACTGCCAAAGATATTTGCCTAACCATAACTCTCCATTTATATATTATCACTGGAGAATTGTTGGTTCAAGCCTCGGCTCCGGCTTTCAGTGTCATTGTGTTCTTGGGCAAGACACTTCACCTGCATTGCCTACTGGCCATTTACCATTTATTAAATAAATAAAAGCGTCTGGGATTACTCTTCAAAATGAAAAAGACAACAAAGCCTGCTATTAAAGCTAGAATGAGGTGTTGATCCTCTAGTCAGTAAATGGCTACAAGTAAACATCTTAAAACAAAACAGAAGCAGGTTTCATTATAATGTAACATAAAATCTATTTATTTTAAACTGTTTTAGCAAATCTTTACCTAAAGTGCCAATACATGCGGATGGTACCGAATGTTTTTTTTTTTTATAAAAGACACTAAAAAAACAGATATGAAATCAAATCAACAAACTTCTCCTGTTTTTTTGGCTTTAAGGAGATTATGCAAAAGTAAAGCAGAAGAAAATAATTAGGAAAACTTTTACCTCGGTTTTAGCAAACTTATATAAAAAAAAAAAATTCTTACAAATGTCAGTTGTGAACATTTCTGAGAAAAAGATCAGGCTTGCAACTGGAAATGTTATCAGGAGTAGCAATAAGGCCGTCTAAAAGATGGCTTCCAACATTAGTCATCTTCTGTTAAGCCTTTGAGTCGAAGCTCTTCTTGAACCCTGAACAGATACCCTGGATCTGGATAGCCAAAGCTGTAGAAGATGAAGACAATAAGGATAGAGATGAGACAACATCTTAGTGGTTTTCGGAGTTCTAGGGCTGCAGAAAATCCACCTCATAGTTAATGTAACACTGAAATACATGTATCTGAACTTAATAAACACATAGCTATATTCTTATTGTCTAAAACAGGGGTTTTCAACTTTTTCCAGGCCAAGGACCCCCAAACTGATGGCGAGATGGAGCAGGGACCCCCTAATTACATATATTGTATGAAATTGTGTTATATTGAAGTGGTCCTATAGTCACTCTATTAAAGATGGAGTAATTTCACCCTGGGATTATTAAAGTATTTCTGATTCCTGGTTGATGGGACAGGTGTTGTGAATAAAACGGTGCCCAGCTTGAAAGAGCTCCTGTGTGTCGCTAATGTGTGCATTGATGACTGAAAGACATCTTCTGCCTCCATTTATCTGTTTACTACAGTGTGTCGAATTCATGTTAATGTGGATTTAAAGAAATTTCAATTAGTGGAAAAAACTGCAGGGGGGAATATAAAAAAAAAAAAGACTAATCAACCAAAAGTTTCACGACCCCCATGCAGAACCTCCGTGGACCCCTAGGGGTCGCGGACCCCCTGTTGAAGACCTCTGGTCTAAAAGCTATAGCTTCCCACCTAACCAGACTTGTTAAATGTGCCAAACATAGCTTCACTGATGCACCAGAGAAACCACAGTTCCTTATTCAGTGCTGATCAACACTTAAGACCAGAAATGTTTTTTTTCACAACAATGCTTTGCTTTTGTTAGTTAAAAACACATTAAGTAAAATTAAAGAACCAGCTATTGGTTTTCATTTGATCTAAGGTCTGGAGAGTTTTTAACCAATACAGTCAAAATTTTTAACATTTTGTTCCCTGAGGCACTTACCGATACCATTTGCTTTGAGATAAATATCTACATCATGCTGACGAAAGCAGTCTTCATCCCAGAGGGAACCCCACACATTAATGCTCTCGAGATGGTTCCCTATCAGTGTAACAGGGCTCAGGGTAGATATTTCTATTTATATCTAGGAATATTAAGCTGTTTTCACATTTTTTCTGAATAACATGCAACTTTGCGGCTCCTCTTTTCACAAACAGGCCATTTTTAAAAGTCCTCTGCTCAGGTATATATATAAAAAAAATAATAATAATAAATCACACCGGGTGCCCTTCTTTAGCTAGCTCTGCAGTGTTGGAACCCCAATGCCTTAGCAGACTCCTTATTAGGAACTGCTCTTGGTATTTGCTGGACTCTCTTGGAAAGCATCCTTCAAAATAACTGAAGTTTTCTCCTTTGGGTTCCACATGGTTTGATCAATTATTTGGGTAAAACTTACTGATACTGGCAGCAGTATTCTGAACTATGAAGGGGTTTGATGGAGAGCCATTACCCAGTAAGTGATTCATTTGAGGTAACAATTTCGAGTCTAAGACAGCAATATAAAGAAATAAACCATTAGATAAAAATAGTGGTGTGCATTAAAGACCCTGAATCAAGAAGATGGTCTGAAGAAGTGTGGAGGGCTCTCACTGCCTGAGAAGATTAAAACTTTAAGAATCCAGATTATCTGGACCTGAAAAGCCCTACTCTGCCCTGAAAAGAGAGACACAAAAATGTTCCATTGGAAACAAGGCTCCCTGTAATGTCCAAACTTCCTCACTGAGCTAACTGTTAAGAGTACTGAAATGATGCTTCATCTGCTGTTTTTAAAATGTGGTTTTATTTAGCTTTCTGAATTTTGCACTCAGCTGTCTTTATATATAGCGTTTATATCAACCAAGAATTCATGAACACTGGCACCATAAAACCTGAAGCAATAAAACCTTTGACCATTATAACACTGAACATGAAAATCCGTGGCCTTATATTGCTTAATCAGATATTAGTTCTTCTGTTTATACTGACCATTAGTCAGTTTAGTAGCAATAGGTAATAATCCCAGTAAGTTTAAGTAAGTTTCCAGAGTGACTGTTTTATACAGATATCAGTCTGCAATCAAAATAAGGGGCACCTACTGCTGTGGGCCTCCATCTATGTTGGTCTTATGGTGAATGTCGTTCCAGGTGATGACGTTGTTGAGTCCTGTGGTGGCCGACCGTCCGATGGTAAACGTGAGTTTCCTGTCGAACGCTTTCCTCAGCAGCCTCAGGACTTTCTGTCCCTCTGTGCAGTCTGGCAGGTAGGCAACACGGGAGGTGCCGCTGTACCTCACTCCCGGGTTTGGGTGTTCAGGCTGGAAGAAAGACAACAGTTTGTCTCATCAGAACCAAAGCCAATTAACTCTATTTTCATCCTCTTCATCAGAGAAACAAACCGTAACATACTTTTTTATTTTTTTATTTTTTGACAAATACAATGGATTCCAGGAATAAAATGAGTAGTAAAAGCCGCTAAAAGAAAAGCATGTTACTGAATTATGATGGAACGGCTAGTGAAATGCAGTGCTTAAATTATGAAATGATTTGATCTTTGAATGGGGGGGTAAAAGCCATTGGATTTTGGTCTGGACTCTTTAAAGGTGAAGCTTTCTTGTTCTAGAAGAAGTGTGCCTCCAAAAATATGAATTTGTTTTAACTGCAGAGTCTAAATGCAGTCGTCTGTCCTGTTCCTACTTGCATGTTACCTGTAATGACTAATAATGGCTGTTAACAGTGTACTTCCTATTGCCCAATGACCTCTGAAGTTTGAACATACCATTTCTGAATGGAGGAATAAACAAAGAATTATATCATGTTTATTCCAGTGGAAATACACTGTGACGGAGTTTCAATTCCATTCAAAATTATTTTATGGATCCCAAGGAGAAATTAAATGTTGCCCTCACCCTTTTTTTCCCCCAACAAGCTGTTTTATACCTTTCTGAAACAAAGCAAATAAAACAAATCAATATTAGAACAAAACAAATTTTTGAGCTTGAGAAAATTTTTTACAACCCATATACATTCAGAGAAATTATTTCCATATCCAATATATTTTCAGATGTTGGTGTCCTTTCCAGTATTCTCTTATTAAGCGGTCATCAAATTGAGTTGATACGACTTACCCACATATGTACAGTTTTTACGCCTGGTGCAACCTTGGTCCCATCAATTATTCTTATATGTAAGGAAGTAAAGAAGATTTTTTTCTTCCAAAGAACAATTCTTTGTCTGTCTACATCAGGATGGGGGGGATGATATGCATTTTTTGTTTCCTACGATGTAGTTTCAGGTAATATGTTTGAGTGCAGCAGTAGAGTGATTCATCTGCCTCAGTAGTCCTAAGCCAATGTCCCCACCTTTTAACAGCAGTGTATGACGTTGGCCTTTATGCAAAGAATCCATGAACCTTTCACCTTATCAGGAACTTTGGATACACAAAAGTCGGCAACTTTGGCGTTTCTTTATATTTGTTTGATTGAAATTCCCCAACTAACCACATAATGTTTTAAAAAAGTCAGCATTGCTTAGAAAGATAAAAGTACTTAGTCTGCATGAATGAAGGTACTTTTAAACCAACCCATTATTTCAGATAATCTCTGGAGTGGCCAACGATTTCATCATTTCTAGCTTTAATCTGTCAATTACACAATTCAAGCAATCCAGAGAAAAAGTAAAGGCAAGGTGTTAGCCAATTCCATAGAGGTGGTGGGTTGTTGAGGCGGCTTTGGTCACCAAAGCTGGTGTGACATGAAGATGATGACTTTTTTCAAAAGTGTTGATGGAAGAAACAAGAGTGAGCAGGAAGTAGTGCGATTAAATGTCAGATAGAAGCTAAGAGCTAAAGTCAACTACAAAATACACACGCATGCTTAAAGAATTAGCTGCATTAGCAAGAAGCTTATGGTGTATATCACCCAGAGGGAAGAAACGTGTTCATGGTGTGTACTGATTGCTCTCTCTCTTTAGGTGTATGTGTTCCCCTAACACACATAAACCTGGGTTAGTAGCAGGTAGAAGGTTAACAACCTGATCTGGTCTGTATGTCCCCATAGCTGAATCAAAAGTTATGTCGCCATGATGATAGTTTTCTGATACCCCTTTCACACGGGCAGAAAAAACAGTTTAAACCTGGGAACAATCAACTTTTAGTGGCAGTGGGAGCAACTTACTGAGGCGTGTCTACCTGGTATCGAAAGACATGGCAAGCGACCCATGTTAAAATCGCCTCGGCTTTGATCAGCATGCTGTGGGAACACCACGGCCAGGTTGACTAACTAAATTACGTGACACCACTGAACACAATGCACGGGCATAAAGACACTGCGTCAGCCATGTATGATCTAACAAGGCCCAAAAAAAACCTCTGTTTACATTTGATAAACATGGCGCAGCGCTGGTGGGAGGGAATCGGAGGGACAAAAGAACGAAACTATAAAGAAGACTCACTACGGCCTGGCTTCCTTACATGTTGGTCTCCATTCTTTACGTTCTTAATTTCTGTCGCAGTGGTGACATCATCAACGCCAACGTAGCAGGGAGACAGAACACGCAGCTTGCCAGCTAGGGTTAGACAATGTTTTTTTTTTGCAACTGAGAAGGGAGCCCTTGTCGATCCCTGTTTGAAAAAGACAGGTTAACCCGCTATTTTCAGTGGGAAAGAGGCTTGAGAGAAACAGCTCTAAATAGATATATAATACATAGACACGCAGTGGGTAAAATAAGTATTGAACATGCCAACATTTTTCTCATTAAATGTATTTCTAGAGATGCTATTGACGTGATTTTCACCCGATGTTGCTAACCATTCATGCAAAGAAATCAAACCAAAGACGACCAGAAACGAAGTTATGTGTAATAATCTGAAATGGCACAAGGGAAAATTATTGAACATGTGAAAAAAGTGAGGTGCAAAAGCAATCCTGCCTTTTGTCAGTGCAAATTAATATCAGCTGGTGCAGTCCCAAATGATGGACTATAAAAGGCGTCTCTCACGAGAAACATCTCACGATGGGTAAAAGTAAAGAGCTTTCTCAAGACCTTCGCAACTTTATTGTTGCAATAAATTATGGCATTGGTTACAGAAGGATTTCTAAACTTCTGAATGTTGCATTGAGCAATGTTGGGGCCATGATCCAAAAGTGGAAAGAACATAATTTCATCATAAACTGACCACGAACAGGTGGTCCTCACAAGATTTTTGGCAGGGGAATGAAAAGAACGATCAGACGAGTTATCTAAGAGCCAAAGATCACTTGTGTAGTGCTTCAGAAAGATCTGGAATTAGCAGGTAAAATTGTTTCCAAAAAAACAATAAGTAATGCACTCAACTGCCATGGGCTGTATGCACACTCACCACACAAGACCATTTTATCCATTTCTGAATAAAATGCATGTTGAATCTAGTTTGAAGGTGCTTAACAACATTTAGACAAGCCTGTGAAATGCTGGGAGAATATAGTCTGGTCAAATTAGACCTACGTTGAACTATTTGGATGCCATAATACACATCATGTTTGGAGGTCATATGGCACTGCACATCACCCCAAATACACCAAACCAACAGTGAAGTTTAGAGATCAGAACATCATGGCGTGGGTCTGTTTTACAGCATGTGATACCGGCAAACTTCAAATAAATAAAGGAAGGATGAATTAAAAATGTTGAAAGATATTCTTGATAAAAAATCTGCTGCCACGATGAAGGAGATAAAGGTGGATGGACATTTCAGCAAAACAATGACCCACAACACACAGCCAAAGAAACTATCAATTGGTTTCAGAGGAAGAAAATAAAGCTGCTAGAGTGGTTTAGCCAATCACCTGACTCGAATGCAATAGAAAACCCATGGAAAGAACTAAAGATCCGAGTTTATAGAAGAGGCCCACGAGCCCTTCAGGAGTTGAAGACTGTTTGTGTGGAAGAACGGGCCAAAATCACACCTGAGCAATGCAAGAGACTAATTTTGCCATACAGGAGGCATCTTGAAGCTGTTATTGCCCACAAAACCTCCTGCAAAAAGCATTAAGTAAATTTCAGTAAGTGTGTTCAATACTTTTTCCCTGTGCCGTTTCACTTTATTACACATGACTACATTTCAGGACATCTATGGTTTGATTTCTTTGTATGTGTGGATTGCATAGATTTCTACTGACATCTGGTGAAAATGTCATGTCAATAGCACCTCTAGAACTAGAATTACTGAGAAAAATGGTGCTTTGTTCAATACTTATTTTCACCTGCTGTAAGTTAATGACATGCAATGAAAGAAAATGATTAGCATACTTAGAATATAATGAAAAATGTAACATAAGAACAGACGTCCGTGGATTGCATGTAGCATTTAAACAAAGTGCAGCTTGTGCTGAAATGGGCTGGAGGTAGGGGTGGGCAATATATTGAATATACTCGATGTATCCCGAGTTTTCCCACACAGAATAGTTAAAAAGACTCGACTGCAACCATCGAGTACAAATTTACATGATGACATTAAGCCAACTGCATCCATTTCCCTGAGTTTTATTTTTCATACACACTTTGAATGCATCATTATTCATCAGATTATTTTCTGCACGGCACGCGTACTACAGTAAAAAGTAAAGAGCATCCTTTTAATAAAATACTCAACTAACAGTATTTGGTTAAAAGGCTACTCAAGCACTAAGTAACTGATCTACTTACTACCCATGATAATAATAAATGATTTAAAGGTATAGAGGACGATCTTTTATATCCGGGTGGATCATCTAAACAAGTGGTCCTCCTAATTGTCCATCATTCTGGTGATATGTTTCATAAGGCCGTTCTACGTGCTTATCCCATTAGCTATCTTTTTCTGCGCATGTGCACTTTCAGACATATATCTTTGGTGAGCTACAATTTCAGTCACTGAAGCTCAACTTATTCACCACAGTTCTTTGAAAATGACAGAGGGCCATAAGAAAAAAAGTGTCTACAAATTGTATGAGAAGAAAAGAAAAGCCTCAGAAGAGGTAGATAAATCCAAAAATGCTTTACTAAATGATGTAAAATTAAACTAAATTAAGTAATAAACAAATACTGGGGTTTCAAAGAATAAGATAAAAATAAACATATAACCTACAGAAATTACACAATAAAAATGTGAGGTGAATGAACACTGTTCAAAATACTGTTTTTTATTTATATAATTTGCAAAAACAACAGTAGCGGTATGTAAAAATAGGTTAATTACAGAATACTGTTTATTGTTATTGTAAATAACATTGAACCAATAAGCCATGAGTACAAAAAAAGAATAAAGAGTTTTTCTGAATGGTGCATATTTGTTTAGAAGCTTGTTTTCATTAAGTGAAGTTACTCACAAATGATGGAGTAGAGTAACCAGATATTTTACTCAAGTTAGAGTAGCGATACTTTATCATATTTCTAATTAAAAAGTCAAAAGTGCAACACTGTAAAACTATTCCTAAAAACTATGATTTTTTTTAAGTTACTCAAGAGAATTTAACTGAGTAAATGTAACTAGTTACTACCAGGGGTGGATCTACTATTAGGCAAAACTAGGCAGTTGCCTAGGGCCCCAAGTTCCTGGGGTCCCCATAGACCTCCTAATACATGTATGGTTAATATAGCTATTACTCATTTGTGCACATTAATTATCTTTTTGGCAAAAATCCTTTCTCTAAAATACCATCAGAATGCTTATAAAATGCTGGGTTTGTCCATTTGGTGTACATGTTCAGAAAGGTCCAAACAGACAGCAGCAAACCATTTAAAAACAAAAGGTGCAAAGAGCAGTTTTAGCAACTTAGGCTTTTGTCTCTATCTTTAGAGACTTTTCGGACCCATCTAGCAATAAAAAAAAAAAGAAAGAAAGAAAAGAAAAAAAAGTTATTTATAAATCATACAATTTAACATGAAATTCTGTATCTGTATAATGGGTCTGTTTTATGTGTTGTCTTTTCAATTCAGGGGGCCCCATGCCTTTTTTTGCCTGGGGCCCCAAATTTCCTTAATCCGCCCCTGTTACTACCCACTTCTGTTTCTGATACAATGACTACCTCATTTTTATCAATGTTTAAATTTAGGCTGATTTTCAACCTTCAATTGAACACAGTGCACAGCTTGTTTTTATAACAGATGTTTTTCATTATGCTATTTTATTGATCTATTTTATAATCTTAGCCCTGTAAAGTAGTAAAATACCCATTTTTAAGCCAGAGGCAAAGCAAAGAGAAAGCTTTTAAAAAGAGAAAGCTTTTGCTAGATTCTAAAAGGGACTCTATCCTATGAATGAAACACTGCCCCCTTGTGGACAATTATGAGTTCCAAACAATGAGCAACATATCAGTTGACACAGTCTGAGGAAGCCACCATTCTTACCCCTTGTACCCCAGCTGGAAAAATGTAATGAATGACGATAGAGCCGCAGTTGTCGAAGCCTGGCAGCTTCATGATGCTTTTGGTCACCTCCATCACACCGTCTGGCTGGGTCCCCATGTAAACTCCGTGGAAGGTGTTGCATAGCGGACATGCGGGCTTAAGCCTGAAAACAGAGTCGATGCACACCGAGCAAAAAGAGTGCTGACAGCTAAGAGTTTTCCTTCTCTGAATCTTCTCCAAGCAAATGGGGCAGTTCACCGCACTTTCGTCGGACAGGGTGTTGTTTGCCCGGTTTTCCATGTTTTACATTCAGTGGGCCTGCTTCCTGATACTTCCTATGGGGTCATATGCTTCAGACCTGTGACGTAGAGGAATGGGTGTGTAATTCATTTTTACTGGCTGAAGCACAGGTCATGTGATCGGAAATGGATGAGAAGCTCGTTTCTGATTGGTTGGATTTTTTTTGTTAATCTGACTTTACTTTCTTGTCCATGTTTATTTTTACTATCTGCAATAAAGAAATGGTATCTGTATCCTACGGAAGAGGATTAGGGCCGCTGAAATGTTTTTTTTAAAAAGTTAACTGATTTTTATATTTTATTTCAGTATAATATGAGAAAAAAAAAATCAGAATTTTGACTTTAATCACAGATTTCTGATTTAATCTCAGAAATCTGACTTTAATCTCAGAATTTTGGATCTTAATGTAGATGGGCACCATGAAGGATGAGATGTGGGAGCAGTCAGCTTCACTGACAAAGATGTGAGTTGTTTAGGAGGGCCAGTAACACATTGGTGGAAAATTATGGAATTAGGCTATTTAACACAAAGATGCTATTTAATTAATGGAAGGGCAGAAGGTGATTAAAACAAGAGAGCTAGTTTAGCCTTTAAAACAGACATGGCAACGGCTTGATGCTAACATGTTTGTTAGCTGTCAGAATTCATTCATAATTCTGAGATTAAAATTAGAATTCTGAGAAAAAAGTCAGAATTCTGAGATTAAAGTCAGAATTCTGAGAAAAAAGTCAGAAGCAGAATGTTAGAGGTTGAACCAACAGATTCTGCAGAGTGGGAGAATAGAGAGAGAATGAAGCAGAATGATGAAAAGGGTTATATGTCCCTATGTCTTTAAGCCGTCTAAGCTTATAGCAGCATAACTATAGAGATAGCTCAGGATAACCTGAGCCACTCTAACTATAGCCTTTATCAAAAAGGAAAGTTTTAAGCCTACCTTAAAAAGTAGACAGGATGTCTGCCTCACAGACTAAAACTGGTAGTTGGTTCCACAGGAGAGGAGCCTGATAACTAAAAGATCTGCCTCCCATTCTGCTTTTAGAAATTCTAGGAACCACTAGTAAACCTGCAGATTGAGAGCGAAGTGCTCTGTTAGGAACAATCAGATATCTGATATAAGATGGAGCTTGGCCATTTAAGGCTTAATATGTGAGAAGGAGGATTTTAAATTGTTTTCTGTTTTTAACAGGAAGCCAATATAGAGAAGCTAGGATAGGAGAGATAAGATCTCTCTTTTAATTTTAAAAGCTGAAGGTTTTTAACAACAGTTAGTGGACTTCCTGATAATAAAGAATTACAATAGTCCAACCTTGATGTAACAAATGCATGGACTAGTTTCTCAGCATCAGCCCTGGACAGGAGATTTCTAATTTTTGCAATATTTCACAGATGAAAGAAGGAAATTCTAGAAATCTCTTTGATATGGGATTTAAATGACAGGTCCTGATCAAAAATAACTCCAAGATTCTTTACTTTATCATCTGAAATCAGTTTAATCCCATCCAAATGAAGGGGCTTATTATAGTTTAGGACAGCATATTTTTCAAAGACTTGTCCAAAGACTATAATTTCTGTTCTGTCTGCATTCAGAAGGAGAAAGTTAAGAGTCATCCAGATTTTTGTGTCTTCAAGACATGCCTGTAATCTAAGTAATGGGTTAATTTTATCTGGATTCATAGACATAGTATCATCAGCATAACAGTGGAAATTAATCCCATGCTGTCTAACAATTCTACAGATTGGGAGCATATACATAGTAAATAGAATTGGTGCTAGCAGTGATCCCTGTGGTACTCCCCAAGTAACCCTGGAGCATGAGAAAGATTTGTTATTAAGATGAACAAATTGAAATCTATCAGAGAGATAACATTTAAACCGGTCTAGTGCTGTTCCTTTAATTCCTACAAAATATTCAAGTCGTTTTAAAATAATATTATGATCACCTGTATCAAATGCAGCACTGAGATCCAACAGGACAAGCACAGATACAAGTCCATTATCCGAGGCCATGAGGATATCATTAGTGACTTTCACCAGAGCTGTTTCAGTGTTATGGTGAGCTCTAAAGCCAGACTGAAACTCTGGCTTCAGAGCTCTAAATTTTAGATAAGAAATAATGATTGAATATAGGTCTATAATTGACCAAGTCATCTGGGTCAAGAAAAATAAATTAAAAAAATAGTTATTTTCAAAACTAGTGTAGTAAGAAAATCTTTGCCCTTTCACAGGTTTCCTCAGGGCGAAGTGTGTGTATGTGTTTTGTAACGGCAAAGCAGAAAGATTACATTAGCTGATTATCTTACGGTAAATGCAGGACACAAAATTTATCTTATGTAAATTTTAATTTTATGACGATTCCAAAAGTCATAGCAGTAGTTTAGTAGTTACTTGTAATGTTAAATATTGTGTTGAAGTCTGGCGTGCAAGTCTTTTATTTAATAAAATAATTAGATGTTTAAACTGGATGTGATAACTCCCTTATTTAAGAAATAGTATTTCATAATCAGTTAGCTTACTGATATTTTGTTTCCATTCTAATAAATTCTTGAAAAAAATAATAATTTCTTTGTCGTGTAATGAGATATTGTCATACCGTTTCTAAAGCTTGTTTCAGATTGGCTGATCAGCTCCTCATGATTTCTCCTTCCCCAGAAACTCCATTTGTTGGGGAATTTCGTTTCGTTTGTTCATTTTTTTCTATCAACACTTCTACTCTTTTAATATATGGTTTCGTTTTTATCAACATTTCTCTCTCAATACTGCAGCACACTATTATCCAGGAATTTTCTTCAAGGTGCAATGCTCATCATATCCAAACCAGTTCCAAATCCAACCTGGAGAAGCAGTGAGGCATATGAATAGCTGAGCAAAACCTGCTAAGCTGCTTCTAAGTCTCTAAATGACCAGGCAGACAGAAGTGTAAAGCAAATACCTGATCGTTTTCTGCATCTTTTCATTAAATAAGCATTGTTCTTTAGTGGGTTAGTAGCTCTGCCATTTTTGTGATAGCCCATGAGAAACTACTGATCGACATCTGAAACATGAAAACTAGATTATATAGTAAGCTCTATGAAAACTACCTTTCAAGGATTCTAACTATATCTGTATTGAAGTAGAGGGAATTCTTCTAAAGTACCTTAGCTGTAATACTTCCCAATGAATCATCACTTTCTTGGGACTCTGCAGCATCAAACATACACACTTTATTTTAGGACCCATATTGAACATCCTTGACAAACCCAAACATAACTTTTTATTCAAGTATTAAAATGTGGAGCACATAATTCTGAACATCAACAAAGTACAAATTAACATAATTAGAAAAGCAGAACTGATTTTTTTTTTTCCCGTAACATTCGATTTGCAGGAACTGGAGTCCAGCCATCCAACTCTTCTCTTCTCTTCAGTTAGGTTATGCATAGAAAGATTTGCACAGTAGCCTTGATAAACTACAATCCTTTGTCCAACAAATATCTTGATTGGTCCCTTAACTAAAATGCAAAGGGGGTGGGGGTGGGATTAGAAAAAGCATTTGATGTGAGGATGTGTTTAAATCAGTTTCAGCCACGAAAGTCTGCTGGATTTTGCAAACGAAAGTTCTAGTTCTCCATTAAGTATAGGCAGACATCATATAGAGGAAAGGTAATGTTTTGGACCCGATAAGCTTAGAAATCTTATAAACTGAGTTGTTTCTTTTCTCCTAAAAGCTAGATGCTTTTATATGATCAAATGGCGCTTAAAATGCACCCAAACAATTCCAACATTTTCAGACACCCTCATGGCTGATTATTTCTTGAGTCAAAAAAGAATATAAAGAAGGCACAACAAACTGAGATCAGTGACTCGCCTCCAATCAAATTAATCTCTAAACTCCCCAATTGTTGGTTAAACATTAAGAAATTTACATAGTTAACTCATATTGAAAAGAACAATCTAATAGGAAAAAATCATCTAGTTTGAAAGGAATGAAAGCATAGATATTTAAAGAGCTTTTGTGCCTTAGATTTGGTTAAAGTGATCTATATGCCCTTCAAAGTTGACATCATCATTAATCTGCTAATTCAGAGAATGTTTCCAACATAGTGAGGTAATGGGGCAAATGACTAGAAGACATCTTGGAAAAAACAGGACTGACGACTGGAAGAAAACCAGCGGGAAGTTCCAATGCATACCAAACGGCGCTGCAATGAGACATCATTTAACATTCCTCTTATTTTAAGTACGGAGTACATCTCGAGATAAAGATCACACTGAATAAATACGTTGCCTGCCAACAGCCGATGGTGGCATAAACCTGTTGACCTCAAACATCCTGCAGTGAGAGGAAGAAAATCTCCATTACTTCTATTTCACTAAAAAGGAAAATACCAAAGTGCCTGTGAGTGCTTAAGATTGCAATAACATCAGAATATTTAAATCTGTTGCTAGAAGCAGTGCTCTTCTGCTATGAACCAGGTACAATCATTACAACAGGTAATTAATAACACTCTAACATGTTCAACAAACAATTTAGAGAAACACAACAAAACGTGTGCTTTTAAGACCTAAATAATACCCATAGAAGGGAAATAAAAAATAAAGAACATAATTATACTTAAACTAACAAAACTTAAATGATCGAAATAATATGTTGTACCATAAACTTGACAAGCCGCTAAATAAGTGCAATAGAAGTGAGGCCTTGGGCCAGCAGTGACAGTTTGAGGATTTTCACTGCATTTAGAGTATTTTCTTCTACATGTAGCACTAAATAAGCTGAACTGCCAAGAAAAATGATCAAAGCAGAACAGGCAGTGGAGGTGATAGGGATTCTTCTGCAGCAATGGACATCCGTCTGATGAGGTGTTTTTTTTTTGTTTTGTTTTTTTAAACCTTCAGCCACATTTAAAGTGACAAAAGTTCCATAGCAAAACCTGCTGCTTGGTCAAATCCACAATGAGGAGATTCCCAAGAAAAACGTCCAAAGTCCTTCTCGGTCTCACGTCGTCAGTCCGCAGTAATACCTTTTTCTCTGAGCTCCTCTGTTACTCGCACCAAATATGTGGGGTCTGGGTAGCCAAAGCTGTATACAAGAGAAAAAACAAGTGGCTAATGATATTTTTTAGCCCGACTGGCAACAAAAAGTGGTAACTAACTCTTCTGATATTAAACCTCTGATATAAGCAAATAATCTTCATAAACCTGCAAACTCGTACATACCAGCGCGGCCCGCCGAATATAGATGTCTTGTGGTGAATGTCATTCCAGGTGATGACATTTTGCAGGCCTGTCGTCATGGAGGTACCGATGGTGAAGATAAGGCGCTGTTCGAAGGCCCGACGCAGCAGGCCCAGCACACGGTTCCCTTCAGGGCTGTCGGGGAGGTAGGCCACGCGGTCCGTTCCTGGGTATCGAACACCAGGGTTTGGGTGATCAAGCTGTGGGTGAAAAGTATTATGAAGAGGTCAAGTATTTTAAATCCATGCATTCGACGTCTATACAGTAGCCTCATTAAGCATGGATGGGGTCTACGGAGTAACAAAGTCGTTACTCTGTCCCTCAGAAGACTGTGAAACTATCAGATCAGTTGTTTTCTTACTTTCTTACTTCACATCCAAATGCATTATTTAAAAAAAACGTAAGTAGTAAGAATTCAACAAAGAATATGCAAGCTTCACCCTTTTTCCCTATCTGCCTGTTTTAGCATTCACCAATATTGATCCTAGCTACACTTTTATTAGCCATACTTTTACTATTGAATGTAGTTGGATAACAGCCATTAGAATATTATAGACAAAAGAGGAAATGCTAAAAGTTAATTTAATACATGTACTCAAGTTAATCATTTGATTCTCAATGCAAACACAGCTTCCTGCTCTCACCAGATAGACTAGTATGATGTGAATCATAAAGTGCTCCATAAAGTCGAACCCATGAGGGATTATCACAAAATTTTAATCTGCAAAGTGACTGATAACTGTTGTCACTGAGATCTTTTTACCTGGGTTTTCAAGTCTATATATCCTCTCTTTAACTTCTCTTTTATATATTTAGGTTTCCACTCAGGCCAGTAAATATTACAGCACATCATGCACGGGGGCTTTCCATTTCTTCAGGGGGGATTTCTAGGAGCGGGAACATTGTAAACATCAATAATATTTAAAGCTTAGTAACCCTGCAGACATTCTTATGGTTGGGAAAGTCCAAAACAATGAAATAAATTAGACTTTCTGTAAGAGAAGAACAGATTCTCCAATTGAAACGATGTTCTCTAACTTGTTGGTGTGTGTTGTTTAGATTAAATGTTTACAGTGAAACTTAATGTAATAGTGTGTTTTTTTCTGACACAGTGTTGCAATATTGTGTTAGATAACACAATATGGCAAGGAAAACAATATCAATAGTACACAACAAAAACCTTTGTTTTGCTTTAAAAAGAAAACTGTATAAAAAAAAAACATCTTAAACATCACTGAATATTAAACAGAGATGTTTGAAGTTTGCCAAATTCTGTGGTGCTAGTATAGGAGTTTATGTCACAATGGGTTTTACAATAAAACTTAAGGGCTGCACCTTTGATTTAAGGTTATTTGAGTTAAGTTGATTTAAGTTTTACATCTTAAATAGATTGTATTGTGTACCTGGGGTTTCAAAGTCCAAAAATATACCGTATATATGCTGTTTGGGACATATATGTGTAGTCCATTAAGTTTTCTCAATTCTCTATGACATTTTATTATCTATTACAAGAAAGTTTTTGCTTGGGAGCTGCTAAACAAGGTCATGGACTTAACAATCCAGCAAATTCACCATGTTTTTTTTTTCCTTTTACAATATTTTTGTAGTGAACGTTGAAGGTCCGGCTGTTGGGTGCATTAACTCACACAAGTCATTAAACCGTCCCCCAGGCATCCAATCCTCTTTGAAATGCCTGGTAAAATTTATTTATTTTTGAAATGTAGATATTACTTCCTGCCTATTGATAGCAGCAGCATCATGCTCTGCACTTATGTTAGAGCTGCTAAACTAAATTTTAATTCCTTAAATATATACCCTTACTGTGCGTTTAAATAACAATATTACACAAACAGCTTTGCAGTTTTTCTTTTTGCAATTTTTGTTTTGGGAACAGAATCACAAAATTATCCGAATACCATCCAATGATGTTCTTGGCACTACATTAGTTAACTGATTAACTATGTTGGGGGTATTGTTAAAACAAAAAGACATGTTCAAGAATCTTCACTGTCATTATGAACCCATGATAATTGTTTTTTGTTTAAATATGCGGTGAGATTTAGAAACAAAACACACAGACATTTGAAACACTTTGGGGAGGAATGAGCTTATTTGAAGTCTTAAGGAAATCTGTTTTTCCTTTTGAGGAAGTATTTATATTCTAAAAGATATCTGAATTGTAGCTGGGGTTAAACTATTGCTGTTACTACTGTGAATTGCCGAAGTTTTCTCAGCTGATGCTAAAGAATTAAAATTTGTCATGTAGTAAAACACAGAGTTGTCTTTTGGGATTGCATTTTTCTGATTTATTTTTCACTTAAATCTTAAACTTAAATGAGTTGCTCATTTTAGTCCTCTTTCCTAGACTAAAGTCTTGTCGATAGTCCATTTTTGCCTTTTTTGGATTTTACTCATTTAATTCACTTTTGATCAGACTCCAACTTGTGAATTTAAGTCAGAATGAAAACTCTCCTACTATTGACATCTTTTAATAGATTTTGTAGGAAGAAAAAAAAAAGTTTCTGCATCGCTTCATTCTTGATTCACACCTCTGCTATCAAACTGTGAATACATCCAAATGGGTTGCAGTAGAATGCTCTTCAACCTGGAAGGTGATGGGCTGTAAACATCTCATTTACATTTAAAGAGAAAGTCCCAAAATTAATCGCTGAAAAAAGTGCATTGAAAAATATAATTACAATTTTAAAAGAATCATAAAATGGGCAAATATAGACTAAAGCAATGCAGATCATCTAAACATAGACCACAACAGGATGATTTAAAAGCATGCATAATATAACGGGGGAAATGGCTGAAATGCTTTTAACTTAGTTAAAAGCATAGAAACTTTGTGTCAGACTACCTACACACCCATTTTTACTTACCGTCTGTATTCCAGGAGGAAAACTGTAAATGATGCAGATACACCCATGGCCTTCATGGCCAGGAAGCTCCAGATCAGGATCCCGCTCCACAGTCATCGACCCATTGGCAGGCTGGTTCCCAACCAGTTGGCCATACACCAGTCTGCACACGGGACAGGCTTTCTTCACCTTAAAAGCTTGCTCCAGGCATGAACGGCAGAATGAATGGCCGCATTTCTCCAGGGTGGTCCTCTCCACTATGTCCCCCATGCAAATTGAGCAACTGTTTCTATCCTCTGCTTCACTGTGGGAACCCATACCAGAGTCCTTTTCTTTCCTCAGGGAGGCTTCATGAAGCATGGCACACACCTCCTCATCAGCAGGCTTCCTGAACCTTTGCTGCTGTCTTTGGGAGCGCCGAGGCTGGGAAGGTGGAGCCTGAAGCAGGCTCCCTTCTCCATTCTGCTCCAGGGCTCCAACGCAAGGTAGCAGAGCTCTCTTCCTCTTGGACCCTCCCTCCTGTTTGCTCATTTCTTTACGGGCACATCGGCATAAGTCAATGAAGGCTTTGCGCGTCTCACTAGAGATGGGTCCATCCGTCATGCTGGATCTGGTGCTCCTTGAGCCTTCCACTGGCTGTAACTTCACGGCACAGCAGCCTCCTCTCTCTCCTCGCCTAATGATGCCAGCGCTCATTCCCTGTTTGTGCTGGAAGTCAATGAGCCAGGGCCGCCCAGCTGCAGCCAGGTAATCCCAAACTGCCTGAGAAACCAGCACCTCATCACTGCCCTGGCCAGCACGCACACTCATCTCATCAGACGAAACTGCACAGAGGAACACAATGACACCATTAAAGCCTGAAAAACCTCATTCATATGTTTAGAAATCAGACTCAAGGCATAATCTCGTTGAACTATTAATAAAATGTTGGTGGTTGAAACAAGGGGCTATTGCAACTTGATTAACTAGTTATTTTAAATCAATTGACCAAACATTAATTTTCAATATTTTTTTCTTGTAGTATCTAGAACAAAAACAGATTAATTTTTTTTTGTTTCAATATATAACACTTGTAAATATTTACTGCAAAAGATTCATGTGAAACAAAAGAGACAAAATAGAGAGAGCTGGCAACAAAAAGAAGAATGTTTAAAATTAAACAAAATATATGATCCAACCTGAGCATTAAATATCTGCACCTCATTTTGGGTAATCCTTATTTGCATACACAAATGGAAAAGCAAATAAGTTAGGAAATATAAGCCCAAATTACATGTGCAATACATGTACTACTACTACTACTCATCCACTCACATAAAATTGGGTGAGTAGAACACAGACCAAGCTGCATCAGTTCAAACATCACTCAATTTTATTTATTTTTTTCAGAAATTATAGGTCTTATTTGAACAGCAGTAATAAAGACATTCTTGAGAAAAGGCAGGTCTCATTGTATTATTTTTGTTCTACATCATGTCAACCACAAATGCAGAAAATTTCAGATCTCTAGCTACGACAGTTCCAGAGCTGTGGGGCTTTGAACATTTGGTGTCAGCTTGGAGCAGAACGCAATGGCTCCACCTGCTGGTGTCTGTGTTTCTCTCTAACACAAGCCTGTAATGCGGTTTCCCTTTAAATAAAGTACACACATTTGGTCTCATTCAAAACCTTATTTCATTGGCTACAAAGTCCAACACCCCACATGGTCTTATCCAATAAGAGCAGAGAATTTAACGTTAATCATAACGCGCGTCACTGGCTGACAGAAAGTGAACCAGAGATTTCGTGAGTGAGATTTCGAGGACTATATCTCCCTCAAATCACGTGATAAAAATGTGCAAACACTGGTGTCCTGTAGATAAGAAGACGATGTAAAGAACCATACCAAACATTGCTGGCTAACAACCACGAAAATAAGTATTAGAAGTAAATATTAGCAAGATGCTGAAAATAAGCAATGACCAGCTAACCTTTCTGATTTGAACAACCGGATGTTAGGGCCGATTTTCTCATCATGGAATATTTTATTACTAATATGTTGGATTACTTTTAATCTGTGGACCCTTATGAGCGAATAGAGTATAAACAATTGAAGATTGGATTTATAAAACGGCTTCTGGATGCCTTCAAATGTATGTAGTTGTGGCTGCTTTGTTTGTTTAGATTTTGACATGCTGCTATATCTGTTAATTGTGCTTTGGTGCTCGCTGTGTCCATAACATTTACTTGATGGTTGAATTGTGAAGAATCTAAGCTTACCAAGGATTTCTAACATGTCTATATTTGTAAAAATTTTACCGGTGGAATTTCATGCATTCTGAGTTATTACCCCATTTAACATCCACCGGTGGGTTTTGAGAGGTTAATGACTGTCTTTTTACTCTGTTTTTAATTTTATGGTCTTTTAAACTTGTTTTAATTTTCCCTTTTTTAATGTAGCACTTTGAGATTTGAAGTCAAATGTAAAGTGCATTATAAATAAAATTTAATATCATTATTATTACCTTAATAAATTGAACACAGACTGTTTACAAGCCTTTGTTTGTTTGAATCTTTCTTCTTAAAAGACAAATACAGGTCAATTTTTGACATAATGTAAACCAAGTGTTTTCTAATGGATCATATTTGAAAAGTTTATTTAGAGTTTAAAGTACAAAGCAAAGCACATTTACCAATAATGCTTTCATTTCTTAGCATTGTCACAAAAAAAGCAGCTTCAGCTGCTCTAGACGCGCTGCAGACAGCATGCGCGTTCATGTGTTTTGAAGGAGTTGTTTCATGTGATGTCCCTTCTTATGCTCCAACTCCGCACCTTCTCCAAAGCCAATTATCGTTCAAGATCCCCTTCATTTAGCTCCTGGCCTAGTTTCTCTCTGGGAGGTGGGTCCTTTCACCCACCTCCACCTCCTCTCCTCCCTCATCCTCAGATTTTTTCTGTCCTACTCACCCTCTGGATTATCCCACCACTAGTGTCCAGGCCCAGGGAAAGACTACACTAATCATTTTCTAGTTTACTCATCAAAGCGAATGCTGAATCACAGCATCAAAGTCTTCTGCCGGGGCCTGAGCTCCAAATAACTTATTTCATTTATGTCTTTTTTCTGCTTCTATGTCTTTAAACCCTAGTCAGCCTCAGCAGATGGCCGCTCACACTGAGTCTGGTTCTGCTGGCCGTTTCTTCCTCTTAAAAGGGAGCTTTTCTCTCCACTGTCTGCAAACCTAAGCAGCCTCACCCACGTTACGCCACTGCCTGTTTTTGATAACAAAGTCTATCTTTTATTTTTTACAAAAACAACCCAAAAAGCCTAAATAGTTGATATATAAGTACATTTTCATTCAAAAACCAACTCGGAATGTTATTCCACGCCACAATGCAAGAGGGACAATCAGGAACTAGCTGTGGGTCTAGATACGGGAGCAAGTTTGTCCGACAACAGAGGGACATGGGGACGAGAAAGAGTGGGGATCCAGGTGGAAAAAGGGTCCTAGCGTTCTTGCACACCTTGCTCTTCTAGCTGGTCCAACTTTACGAGTCATTTTCCACAATGGCGGTCATAAAAACAAAAAAAGCTGGTAAGGTACCAAACAGGAAATAAGCATAGTGTGGAGCGGATGTAGATTTGACCAATCAGAGGCCTCAAGTCTGCGGCACTGTCTGTGGTCACCTACAGTTTGGGAGAGGTGCAGCAGAGCGCCTGCGGAGGGGGCGGGGACGACTTAGTTTCCAAGTATAAATTAGCCTTTAGGCTCAAACCTGCTGTTTTCTCTTTAAGCTAATAACAGGTCACTTAAAATTAGACTATTCCATCAGAACAAAAAACAAAACAAAAAATGTGTGGGCTTATTCAAATTATTAATAATTATGACAAAGCATGCTTTAAGGCTGTTTTAAAAAAAACATGCCTCATTAGAATATACATTCTAATTTATTGGAACTGACTGCATCTGCAAGTGGTGCCCAAAAATTTTATTTTCCTTGGGGCCCAGTTGAACTTTTGGCTGGCCCTGTTCGCACTTATTTTAAACTGCTAAATGCAGAGATGCATAATCCAGGTTGGAGCTTTTCATATGCATTAAAGGGATTACTTTATTTAGCTCAAATATAACTTTGCGTTCACTGAATTCATAATTGTTGAGATTCAGACTGAAAAAGCAAAACATTTAGGTGAAATGTCTGCAGGGCATCAAAGCATGACATAAATAAAAGAGGAGCAGTTGGTTGTTTGGGAAAGATAGCAGCTGATGTCAATGAATCAACTGTTGAGATGTAAAAGGTGTAAACAAATGGAACTCAAGTCTGTGATAAATAAATAATAATAAAATAAAAAGAAAGAAAGAAAACAGTGACCAAAAAAAAAAAAAAACAGATCTGGGACAGAGCATGATGATTCTTACCTTGTGATCCCATAAATTCCTCCAAGTGAGAAAAAAAGCTTCCTGTTGAGCAGAAGTAGAGATAAAACTGAAGAGCTGGAGCCCCAATAGGCTGGATATATTTAGGCGAGAGGGAAATTCAGCGATGTGGCAACATTAAGGTCTCATTTCTTCCAACATGTATGAGCAAAGCGCCTCCTCCTCTGCACATCTCCAGCCCTCAGTGAAGCGGCTGTCATGGAGCTCTGAGGCTGGATTAAAAGGCCTTTATTCTCACTGCAGCTGATCGGCTGGTGATGAGTCGGCTCTTGTCAAGCCATGATATCCAACGCTTTCCTCGATTGCGAGTAAATCGTTTAAAAGAAACAGAAATCAATGAATGCACCACCCAGTCCTCTTTTTTTGCTCGGTCTCGCCTGCGCTCCTGTGTCCTTGTAGGCGTAAACATAAAGTAAAAAAAAAAAAAACCTTCACCGACCCTCTTCGTTTATCAGCCTCGGCCACGTTGTGCTGTGAGCCTGCGCTGACAATTCACTCTTCCCTTCTTTCTTTTACGCAAACCAGCTTTTCCCCACTCGTGTCCGCGTCATTTTTCCTCAGTCTCTGGGCTCCACATTAGTTTACAGGAGGGGGGGCGCGTGATGTCAATGAAACCAGGAAGTTCGTCACTGCTGTCAGTAAACAAAGGATTACACAGTTTGTGTGGTTTTCATATGTTGCTGTGAATCGTGCTTGATGCCGCCCTAGAGTCAAAGTAACTGACCAAAAAGTACACAAAAACACGAGCCCACGCGCCATCTAGGGAATACCCACTCACTCCACTGCTGGAGTGGCCTGGATCTGCTTTTATGTGGGCTCTCACATGCATATTATCTCATTGCACAACAGAAGTGTAAAATAAGTTGGAAAATGTGCCCTTTATAAACAATGAGGGTAAACATAAAGCCACAGTGATCCTAAGATCCTCTCTCTCTCTCTCTCTCTCTCTACATTCCCAAATACTACCTGAACTAATAACAATTTTGAATTTAGGTGTTTTACTCACTTAAATGGCTACGATATAAATTAAATCCAGCTGATTGATATGGAGAATGCATAGTTTTGAAGGAATGGTTCTTTCTCAGGTGATCAGAATCCCAAGATGTCTCGTTGGGATGCCATTTGTGCAATAATTCCCACTCCATACAGAGTGGTGTGATTCAATTCAGTTAATTTATGTAGCTCCAATTCACAACATATGTCATCCCTGGGCATTTTACCGTTCACCAGATCATACAGTCAAACTGATTCAAAGTTTTCTAAGGAAAACCAGTTGATTG